GCAGGTGGGGAGGGTGGCGCTGTACGGGGCCCCCTGAAAATACTGGCTATTGTACAAATTCTGGGGTGCTATTCGGGGGTACACATGAACACGTCATGATGCCGGCGGCTGGGCGCGGCCCGCTGCGATGATGGAGCAGGGCCGCACGGGACAGCCGGCTGAGTGGCCAGGTAGCAACACGGCACGGGGAGGCAAACATAAACCTGTAAGCTTCTACCTGTTGGCCGTCCTCACCAGCGATGTCTGGAGCCAATGCTTTGCTTGCAAGCAAGCCTTCTATGGGAAAACCAACAAGACACACAACTTGCGGGGCTGCTTGTGGCGACAGCCTGACGTGCTCAAAAAAATGTAGGGGTCGGAAGGCGACAGCCCAAACCTTGCTCATAGGCCTTGTGCTTTTGTGGATATGGGTATGAATCTTAATCTATGGTTGTTCAATTTGTGGGGCAACTTTTTGTGCCACAATGGTTTCAAGACTCATTGATCTACTGTTCTTCACAATTGTGTTGACATGCTGTAGTTTAAAGAATCTTTGGCGAAGGTGTTAACCACCAATGTTGCAACATTTCTTCAACAGGCATGGTACATCGTTGCTTCAACATATCCTGACCCATGGAAACTTGTCACCATTTACGTATGGGTATCGGGCCCCGGCATGGTCTGACCGGGCCCCGGTCAGGCTTGACCGGGGACTGCTCTGGACCGGTCCCCGGTCTGGCTCAAGGCCTGCAACGCGGCGCGGCAAACATAAACCTTTACGCTTCTACGTTGGCCGTCAAAATCTTAAGAGTTTTCGTTTGCCCCGTGCGCGTACACTCACCAGCGATGTCTGGAGCCAGCAAAGCCTTGCAAGCATAATAGCTCTGTCTGAGTAATCTAGCTTTCTATGGGAAAGCCAACAAGACACACAACTTGTGGGGCTGCTTGTGGCGACAACGTGCTCTTGCAAATAGGCCTTGTGCTTTTGTGGATATGGGTGTGAATCTATGGTTGTTCAATTTGTGGGGCAACTTTTTGTGCCACAATGGTTTCAAGACTCATTGATCCATTGTTCTTCACCATTGTGTTGACATGCTGTAGTTTAAAGAGTCTTTGGCGAAGGTGTTAACCACCAAGGTTGCAACATTTCTATCATATCCTGACCCGTGGAAACTTGTCACCATTCACGGGTACTGGGCCCCGGTATGGTCTGACCGGGCCCACGGGTCCTGACTGACTGGGGCCCGAGAGACACTGTGTTGGTTGCTGACATTTCGTGAGTCGTTTCTGCTAGACCTGACTGGGGCCCAGTCAGGCCCGACCAGGGCCCGGTCTAGACCTGCAGCCTGCTGCAACCTGCACGAGGCCTGCAACACGGCGCGGCAAACATAAACCTTTAAGCTTCTACGTTGGCCGTGAAAATCTTGAGAGTTTTCGTTTGCCCCGTGCGCGTACGCTCACCAGCGATGTCTGGAGCCAGCAAAGCCTTGCAAGCATGATAGCTGAGTCTGAGTAATCTTGCTTTCTATGGGAAAACCAACAAGACACACAACGTGTGGGGCTGCTCGTGGCAACAACCTGATGCTGCCTGATGCTCAAAAATTTAGGGTCGGAAGGCGCAACTTTGGGCACCAAGACTCATTGACCGTTCTTCACCATTGTGCTGACATGCTGTAGTATAAAGAATATTTGGCGAAGGTGTTAACCACCAATGTTGCAACATTTTTTCAACAGGCATGGTTTTCAACATCTTTGCTTCAACGTATCCTAACCGATGGAAACTTGTCACCATTCACGTATGGGCGCCGGGCCCCGACCGCTGACCGGGCCTCGGTCAGGCTTGACCGGGCGCAAGTTACGCTGTCTTGGTTGCTGACATTTCATGAATCGTTTCTGGTAATCGGGACCTGACTGGGGCCCAGCCAGGCCCGACCGTGCCCGGTCTAGACCTGCAGCCTGCTGCAAACTGCACCAGGCCTGCAACACGGCGCGGCAAACATAATCGTTTAAGCTTCTACGTTGGCCGTCAAAATCTTGAGGGTTCTTGTTTGCCCCGACTCTCGTGTGCGTACGCTCACCAGCGATGTCTGGAGCCAGCAAAGCCTTGCAAGCCTGATAGCTGAGTCTGAGTAATCTTGCTTTCTATGGGAAAACCAACAAGACACACAACTTGCGGGGCTGCTTGTGGCGACAGCCTGACGTGCTCAGAAAAGCTTAGGGGCCGGAAGGCGACAGCCCAAATCTTGCTCATAGGCCTTGTGCTTTTGTGGATATGGGTATGAAGCTTAATCTGGCAACTTTTTGTGCCACAATGATTTCAAGACTCATTGATCTACTGTTCTTCACCATTGTGTTGACATGCTGTAGTTTAAAGAATCTTTGGCGAAGGTGTTAACCGCCAATGTTGCAACATTTCTATCATATCCTGACCCATGGAAACTTGTCACCATTCACGGGTACTGGGCCCCGGTATCTGACCGGGCCCTGCGGGTCCTGACTGGTTGCTGACATTTCGTGAGTCGTTTCTGCTCTCTCCGCCGTTCAGGGCCGGCAGGACCTGACTGGGGCCCAGTCAGGCCCGACCAGGGCCCGGTCTAGATCTGCAGCCTGCCGCAAACTGCACGAGGCCCACGGCACGGCAAACGTTTAAGCTTCTACGTTGGCCGTCAAATCTCAAGGGTTTTCGTTTGCGCCAGTGATGTCTGGAGGCAGCAAAGCCTTGCAAGCATGATAGCTGATTCTGAGTAATCTTGCTTTCTATGGGAAAACCAACAGGAAACACAACATGTGGCGACAACCTGACGTGCTCTGAAGAAAACTGGGGTCGGAAGGCGACAGCCCAAATCTTGCTCATAGGCCTTCGTGCTTTTGTGGATATGGGTATGAATCTCACTTTTTGCGCCACAAAGGTTTCAAGACTTGTTCTTCACCATTGTGTTGACATGCTGTAGTGCAAAGAATCTTTGACGAAGGTGTTAACCACCAATGTTGCAACGTTTCTTTAACAGGCATGGTTTCAACATAGTTGCTTCAACGCATACTAACCCATGGAAACATGTCACCATTCACGTATGGGTACCGGGCCCCGGTGTGTCCAAGCCTGCTCAGAGTGCCCGGCAGGACATGATGATGGATGCTACTATGGACCGGAGGGCTTTCTACTTGTACAGAAACATGTTTCTTTGTTTGTTTCTTGCAATAGCTAGCGGGGCTGCAGGGGTTTTGTGCCGTGCATCATTCTGCCAAGATATGTACATGGCTGGTTGTCGCAACATGTTGCAACTAGGGAATTCCTTTGGCGGATTTAAGATCCTTTTGAAGTGGGGCGATAAGAAGCCAGCCGGCCAGAAAGGGCTCCTCAACATGGACACTTGCGCGACGCACTCTTCTCAGGGGCGAATTTTTGTTGTGGCCCTCGTTTACCCAGGGGCGATTGAAGTTGACAATGCAATAGATGTTTGGGACCCGGACAGCCTTTTATTATTACAAGTTCTATACCAGTGTGTTGCTTGACCGTCCCACGCCTGCTACACACAAACACAAACCGCACTTGTTATTTCCATCCGCGGCTGACCGGGTAGTGTCTTTTGAAAGCAGCCAAGAAGCAGTCTGCCGGCAAGTTTTTGCACTCTATTTGAAAAACTATTTTTAAAGCATGTGTCTGGTTTTGCCGGAAGCGGCTCCAAGGGTGACGGTGGCTGAGTGGCTGAGCGGACAAGTGGCTGAATGCGTGGCTGAGCGGCTGGGTGGCTGAGTAATCAGCCACGGATGAGCGACCGAGCGGCTGAGTGGCTGAGCGGCTACGTGGATGAGCGACCTGGATGAGTGGCTTGAGCGGCTGAGTGGCTAAGCAGAGCCTCCTAACGTATTTCGGTACCACCTACCCAACTCAAGCTAGCAAAAAAACACGCGTTTCCGCTGTTCCTTAGAAATATGTGATTTCCGCTCTTAACTGTCAGCTTCATGCGCTAGGCGCGTTGCTGCAAGCACTTCCCAATTTGATGCAAAAGGGCGCTGAGTTGAGTGGCAACTTCCTTGGCTAGGTTATGGTGTAGCTGTTGGGTTGCAATGCTGGGTTAATTTTTTCGGGCAAAAAGAACCAGCCCTGGAGGATTTCTTTCTGGCACAAAAGCAAAACAAGCCCAAAAACAGCTAAGGCCCCCTTTGTTCGGCCGAGATTTTTTGGGGAGCCAATGGACCTGTCACAACAGACTATTTTGTTGAGGTCATATACATGTCTATATATATGTGTGTATATGTATATATAAGTATATATATATAAATAAATCTTGCAGTATATATATATATGTATACCTTGTAGATGTGCATCCTTCTCGGCTGAAGAAGTAAGCAGCCATTTCCTTTGTCAATGGAATGCCTTTTTGGTTGATGATTCCAAAAAGGCGGCACATGGGCGTGTCTTTGCCTTAGGGTACCCTTTTTTGGTGGTTTAAAGGGAAGCCAAAAGGACAAGCAACTTTTTTTGGGGGGGTTCCCTAAAAAAACATCCTCCAATGAAGCGGAACCCAAAGAAAGGTGATTTGTTTACCTACACTGAGAGGAGGCTAAGTACACGAATTATGGAGGGTGCAGAGCGACACTTGGTTACACATACGTAGCTCTGGACGGATGGCACGGCACCTGAGATGCGGCAGCCTGCGCAACTCTGCAGTCGAACTGCACAATGATGTGCCTGGGCAAGCAGCAGGAGATACAGGAGGGAGGGGCAGCCCGGTTTAGGGCGTTTTACCACAAGTAGAGGTTTTCTCGAGACATTTTTGCGTTCTGGCACTTGCTTTGCTCAACAATTGGCAGAGGGACAAACAGGCCACAAATTGAGGGAAAATGTTCTAGCTTTTATGTTCTGAGCCTGTGTTTTGACCCCCATGATTTTCCGAAGCACATATGAGATCATTTGGGCGTTGCTTGAAACATCGAACTGATTCTTTGTCTTTGAATAGTGCTTTACCTCGTTCCCCTGCAAAGCGGTAGCAGAGGATTGCCGATTTCAGGACAGAAGGAGGCATGTTCAGCCACTCTCGTACGCGAATTGGGGGTTGATCAAGAGGTCCTTTACATGGGATGACCATTGGGAATCTCACATGGCAAAAGTTACCCATGGTGGGGGCGGAGGGAATAGTGATCAGCCCCCAATTGTTTCTGCTGAATCGAGATGGTCACTTCACATGCCTCATTTGCGAGCACGGCTGACCAGCGAGCAGTTGAATGATGGCATCACCAAGCAAGGCTACAGCTTGCAGCGGGTCCCCTTTGAGTGTCAAAGGGACGCTAAAAGGATACCCAACCCAACTTGGGAGGTTCCGATGTTCTTTGAGACTCCCAAAGTTCTCCCAGACAAGCTTCTCCCAGAGAAGCTTCTGCGAGACGGTGCTTTCGACAATTTCAGCTGGACGGAGCGGGAAGAGCTTTCGGCTTCGGCCTTCGCGTAAGCGAAGCGCGCTAGGCCGGAGAAGCTGAAGGAAGCTGGAAGGCATCCTGGCAATTAGTGTGCTTAGGTCAGTTGGGGGTAGGGAAGGGAAACCCCGGCTGGTTCAGGTGAAGGGGACGCCACCTCTTAGCCGCTAATCCACCATTCAAAAGCAGAGCACAAGGGCAAGCTAAATTGCATGGGTCACCTTGGGCCTGCTTAGGAGCTTACTGAATGCCCGGGACGTGCTCCAGGGCGGTTCGTACCAGGCACATGGGAATTTGCCCGTGAACTCGTAGCACCAAGACGGAATGGAAATTGAGGGCTGGCACGAATTGGCACCAAGTGCTGCATTTTCCCTCTCCGTTTTTTGGATGGGGCACATTCCCTCGCTGTGTCTTCCAGGACTTGTGGTACAACCGCACAAGGACTTGGCTGGACCGCGAGACTTGGCAAGGGGTGCGTGGCAGTATTGCCCGTGACCAATGTGCGGCTTGCTTTGTAAACCGGGTCTTTTTCCCACGAGTGGCATTGCAAAGGATAGTTCTCAAAACACTGGCGGCATTTGTGCAGTTACAAGCAGTCAACAGCTGGGATCTTGGCCCAAACATCGACAAGTCGCTGCATTGATTTGACTGTGAAACGGTCAGCCTTTCGTGCCGGCTTTCGACCAACCACAGCCATAGATGTCCATTCCGGAGTTGCTTTAGGAAACCAAAGGTGCCACCACGATTCGCCCGAGCCGCTCGCTCTTCGCTCGCTCTTCGCTGTTCGGAAACCTCACGCCTGAGTCACTGAGGCTGGCCGGCTCACGCTGCTGCGGTCTCAGAAGATCAGGTTCTACAAAACCAAGCAGTTCTGCCAGGCGAGAGACTTTCCCAGAAAGGATCAAGCAAATACTGTGACGAAATCCTGCACCACCTAGGAAACCCTGGATGATTCCCCTGTACATGCCAACAAACAATGGCTTCCATGGTTTCAGAGTGGTGCGAAATGGATTTCATCCATCCACAGTATGATTAGTCTAATCCCCACACATCAGATTTTGTAATCCATCCAGAGTATTTACCTTCAGATGGCCTGGGCATGTGTGTTTTCTGTCCGTGGCTTCAGGCCCCAGAGCCCCCAAGTCAGGCTCCCGCACAAGCGTCTATGGATCTCCCGAAAGGTTCGTGGGCACGCCATACCCTAAACCGGTGTGGCTTCCCTTTGACCCATTTCAGACAAACAAACAAGGGATGCAGGGGAAGCAGGGATGTGGGCATATGTTGCAGGTATAATATTTAGACATTGGTTTCCTTTACAGAGAGTCCTCGCAAGAAGACACCCCGCCCCCTCATACCTTTGCAAAGATCACGAGGCCGAGGGCTGAAACACTCGACAACGGCCTTGAGGGCGCTGACTTGAGAAAAGGTGGAAGTGGAATGAGATCTTTGTGCTCAGTTTGGGTACCCTTTTTTGGATGGTTTTAAAGGACAACCACAAGGAAACCGCCCATTGTGGGGGCTCAGATTATTAGCTTGAGACAACCTCATTTGACGCCGCTGTGCAGAAAGTGGAGAGTGAGGGCTTTGTCTACAACGGCGACAACTGGGGGGAGGTGCTGCTGTGTCTTGGCAAGTTGGCCGTGTTTTACACCTCTTGGGCCAATTTGAAACGAGTTTCCTTTTGGCGAGGTGATGTTTACAGAGGAAATCTAGGGAGCACTGCAATTTGGGGGACTCGTCATATTTGGCAACAGCATCCATTGAAACAGGGGTTTGGATGAGACACGCTGTTGGACGATTTGCGGCGCTGTGCTTTGGCAGCAGAGGCTCCACATTTCCGTCTTAGCTACTCGCGCTGACCTGAGCGGGGTTGCATGCTTTGTGTCGGTGGGAGCACGGTGGTCATCTTCTTAGACTGAAGCCCGGCAGCTTGAGCTGGCTGAGAAGACTACGATTGATAGGTCAGTTGGGCCAATGCAAAGCGCTTCTATGCTGACTGCTTCGTACTGAAGCAATTGGGGTGCAATGCCCAATGCCTGCGAGTCAGCCAAACTAGGTGCTTTCCGACCCGACCAATTGGCATAAGTCTGCATATCTGCATGCGCGTCTCTGGTGAACTCGCTTCCGGCACTTGTTTGCACAGAAGAAGAGAAGAAGAAGTTCATTACGCAAGATGAGAACAACTACTTCATCCCGGAGGCCAGGCGACTGGCTCTGAAAAGCAACCATTGTGGTGCAACGTGAAACTACGAACAACGGTGTGCTTCTCAGTATCAACCCCCTTGTTGCTTTCAAGTTCCGGATTGGTTTCACGCGCAGGATCTAGCAGGAGAGGGAGCCTTCACTGCCACCAAAACTCGGGTAGATGAAGGTTAAGGGACAGTCCCAGCCAGAAATCTTCGGTGCCGCCTTTGTATCTCCCTACATGGAGTTGAGGTGGACCATTTTTCATGGGGGGTTTGGATTTTCGCGTCAGAAGCTTTTGTTTTTGTTTAAACAGCCGTCTTGACTTCCGGAGGCCGGCAGAGTCCTGAAGCTCAAGAGTGATGCGGAGACCATTGAGAGCATCCTGAACCAAACAGGCGAACCAAGTCGCCGTCGAAGGGCTCCGCGGTTGGAGATTTATGGGAATGCTCTTTGGGGTGTCCATGCGGGTGTGGGTCAAAATTAAACTAGGGGACCACAGGTAGTCCATGTTTCAATTTACAGGATTCAGTTTTGGGTACCGAATTTTGACCCACAGCCATGTAGTCCAGCAAGAAACAGGACCCCACATTTTTCAGTCCTGGAGGAAACCAATGGAGCCTGGCCCGATTTGCGGCGAAGCGGAGGGTTGGAGAGCTAGCTCCACTCACAGGGCTATGGCTATGGAAATTGGAGAAATTGGGGATGTCCTCACCAGCCCCGCAGTCCCCTTTCACCCACCCCTTTAGACGAGGAGTCAGGGGGCCGAAGCTGACTCGAAACACGGACAATCGGATCAATACGATTTCAAAGCACGAGTGACCAAAGCTTGCATAGGTTAGGCCAAAGGTTCTTCGACTTGAGGCTGCGGCATGCAAAGACATGCAACTGAAGGCCAGGTACAACGCCTCCGCATTCTGAAGCTTGCTTTCGGAGAGCAGCTCAAGCAGTCTACTTTGTGACAGATGGGCATGCGAGACGGCGACACTGTTGATGCAATTGCGTTGGTGAGGGTCCAGCAGATCCAGGCAACTGCGGGTGCTGTTGCTGCCATCCTGAACTCTGCGGTGACTTGGGGTGATGGTCGCTGGTGACAGCAGCAAGGTGCCACGGTTGGTGAGGGTCCAGCAGATCCGAGCAAGTGACGAAGAGTTTGCCGTCATCCGCTCTGTGGTGACAGCAGCCAGATTCAGACTCAGCTTGATTGCTTGTGAGGACAGAATATGGCGGCATGGCCAATTGGGTTGCCTGGTCTGCAGCTGGGAGTGCCTTCAGAAAAAGCATTGAGCTAATTATAGCTAAACAAAGCTGCGGCAAGACTCTCTCTGATTTTGTTTGTATGGTTTTAGGTCGACTTCTTGATACTTGTCAGCACATTTTGATCATGACTCATTTACCTCTCTATCATCGATCCCAAACCTTATGCAGGGCGGCCTTTACAGTCCCCTAATGTTGACCATTAGTCAACCCCAGTTTATTAACACGGGGGGTGTTCCCCTCCAAAAGTGATGATTCCCCAATAAACCCAGGGGCACCCCCCGTATTCCTAGACCGGTGTTGATTGGTATGAGGTCCGCATTATGCTTTTGGATATGGGGGTTGATCACAAGGTCCGATGAACGTGGGATGACCATTGGCTTTCCTGGGAAAACCAGCAAAAGGAGGAGATTTCCCTGGGGCAAGTTCCCCATCCCCATCTCTTGGGTTCTTGTTCCGACGATCTGGACCCGATCAGGCGATGAGGAGCCGAACTCCAATGCCTTGCTGGAGACGAGCGACGCTGACGAAGATGAGGACTCGGGGCAGATATTCCGCTGGATTCCGGCCGGGCTTCACGTCCCTGAAACGGGTCGGCCTGTTCTCACGTAAGGAATGATTGCTTGCCCAGGAGAAGAAAGCGGACGAGAGAAGGGACGAGGAGGAGGAGGTGGGCCGCTCTTGCGAGCATACTCAGACCGAGAGAGTTGGAGAGTGGAGCCTCATGTGGCTTCCGAACTGCCGGAGGCAGGTCTTGCGATTCCTACTGTGGATGGACAACATCCTCTTGGGCACCACCGAATAGAAACGCGGTTACTGATGATTCCCCTGTAAACAAACAAACAAACAAACAAACAAACAAGCAAGCAAGCAAGCAAGCAAGCAAACAAAACAAACAACGCTTCCCACGGTTTCACAGTCGTGCGAACGGATTTTGTCCATCCACAGTTGTTGGGCAGAATCAGAGTTCCTGGCTACCGGTTTTGGATCTGTGCTTCCAAGCACCGCTGCGAGGAGACTCTGACCCCACCAGATTGTGTGCACGGAAGCTCGTTGGCAGGCAGACCTGACTTTGGGGGCTTCAACAGACGACTGCGGACTGGCCATCGGCCCCGGCCAGTTTCTTTGACGTTGTGGTCACATGAGAGTCAAGCAAGCAGCTGCGCACAGGGGTTTCACTTGTTGACGACCCAAGATAGACTTAAACACAGGGGTGAACCATCCCTGGGTTTAAGTCCACCCTGGGGGGTCAGAAAGTGGAACCCTGGCTGCGCATCTTCCCCAGGTTCGGGGTGAGTAAGCCTTACGGGACTCCCCTTACATGCTGCTCAGTGCCGGAACAAGGGGAGGATCAGCATGGACGTGTCAGGTCCCACACGAAGCAGCGAGCAACACACATAATCAAGCAGGTGAAGGCACTGCATTCCGAGGAAAGACTGGGTATGAGCAAGCTGTTCAATTCTCACAATCCTCCATGAGAATAGTTGAGCACGTAAAGGACACCAGCTACGTAAATGCCAGTCTGTATGCGAGCCTTTATGAGAATGGCGTTTCAAGTAAATGGGCAGCTCGGATCACTTTGCTCTCAGTCGAGACCAGCTCAGATGGACAATTTGCTGCAAAACTATCCATCAGCTCTCTCACACGCAGATATAGCACATACACACAGCAATACCAACCAGCTAAATGATGCAGCTGACCGATACTAAATCTCGGAGACTTCATACTTGACAGTATTCTTTGCCTGCGAAGCCACCCAAAGAGTACAGGTTCCGTCAATTCCCTCCTGCCTTCCGTGGAAGCTACACTCACCTCGGTTCTGCGCCGTGCTCATGCCATCCTTCCACCCTTCCACCCTTCCACCCTTCGAGCCACCCTGCCGCCATCCCAGCACACACAGACCGCACAGCACACTGCACTGAGGAAAGCCGCTGCGGAACCACTGCGCCTGCGAGCCCTGCTTCACTGGCGTGCGCTGCGACAGGCCGATGGAGCCCGGGCCCTACACGCAACAGGCGCGGTTTTGGTGGGCGCGGGGGGCGGGGGGGGGGGGTTGGGGCCTGCGCGAAAAGCTGAAGTAGGAGACATGGCAAGGACTTTTGGACAACTCCCTCAAGAATGGGTTGGTTTTAGAGGTTAAAAGCAAGAATGAGAGTTGGGTCACTGAAAAAGGGTTGGGTTGTTTTGTGGCTTTCGTTCAAACATCCAATTGAGCTCACATGCCCGCACTGGGTGTTTGAGGATGAAACCAAGGACCATCCTCAGGGGAGGACGCACCCATAGTACATCGGAGAGGGTCTTTGTTTGTGACTGCGCGTTTTCTTTTGCAAGCATTATCAGGATGCCGTTTGTTTTGGTTTTGATCGTGCTCGGGAGAGGGGTTCGTGTGGTTCACAGCGACGGTCGCAAGTTTTCAGATTTCGCTTTGCACAGTTCTGAGGATGGTGTCCGACATCTATGTTTCGTTGGCTGAACACATGTTTCTGAACTAAGACGATGGCGATGCTATGAGGCAGAGATGTTAAGAGGTGATCAGATGCTATGACGTTGGAGAAGTTAGAGGTTCAAGGAAGTTACTGGTTAGGACATTTGGAGGTGCAATCGGTGGGAGGTGAGTCCGAGTTTGTGTCACACATCCGGGACTCCAACTTGATTTTGGCTTTAAAAGGCACCCCACCACACCCCAAAAGCAACCAAGCACCATCCAGACCAAACCAAGTACCTTCCTCCCCCCCCCCCCAAACAGAACCAACAGAACGCCCAGGCACCTCTGAGCTCCCGGAAAAAACACCGGCCACCAAGCACTCCACAGAACCCCCCCAATCCCCTCCACCCACAAAACCCACCCGAAACGCGTGGGATTCCCGGGATTCCCCGGGCTCCCCGAAACCACCGCCTCGCGGGCCTCGCGCGGATTTCGGCCGTCGCTCGGAGGACTTCGAGCCGCTGGTGGCGCAGCGGGTGGCGGGGGCCCAGCAGCCGCTGCCGGTGGAGGGCTGCCGCCTCCACTCGGACCTCCGGCACCAGCGCCTTGGCGGAAGACTTCGGTTCGGGGGGTTCCCCTATTCGGAGGATGGGGGTGTTTGGGTGGGTTTGGGGGGGTTTGGGGGGGTAGGGGTTCGAGCTGGGGAAGGGGGGAGCCGGTTCGGATGGGGGAAAGGAGTTTTGGGATTTTTTTGGGGGGATTTGGGGTAAGGAAGGAAGCAGCGGAAGGGGCTCTGAAGCGAGGAACCGGGGAAAGGGAAAGGGGTTGGAAGGAACATTTTGTTTGAGCAAGAGACACACAGGAACAGAGCGCTCCGATGTTTTCGGCTTTATTTTCCTCTTGTTGATTTGAAGAAATGACACCTGCCTCTGCCTCTTGACGCGGCGGAAGAACATGCAAACTGACGGGATGCAACTAATCCGAGTCGGAGCGAAGCAAACATGCCAAGGCATGGCAGTGTGGACTTCTTTGGGTGGTCCCAATCGACATGAGCCTTATGGTTCGAGACTTTGACACTGCGAACCACTGCAATTCTCAGGTCCTAGACACCCTCAAACCCAGGCTGGCACGCATCACCCTGATGCCGCGGCTGGGCGAATCGCTGCCCGTCGAGAAGAAAGAGAAGGCCCTGCCGCGTGTTTTGGGAAATGTGGAAAGGTTTGCTTCGGACCCTTCGGAC